CGCTGCAGCATTTCTAGATTACTGCTGGTTTCCAGACATCCTTTGAAAAACAGCTAATATTGGCTCCTCTGAAGGGACTGCCAGCTTGAAACAATGTCACTGGGTAATCACTTAGTACCTAAAATGATGCTCGTGATGCCCAAGTACTGAAAAACTCGGTCTTCCAAAGGCTCCATCTAGCTGCCTGAAACGAAATGCTTTTCTATGCAAATTCACATCATCCAGAATACAGACCCTTTCATGCTAGCAACAGAATCTAACCAGTTAAGCATCATACCAAAATAAAGATTACTTGAGCAAGATCAAAAGAAAATAATTCTTTGAGAGCATCCCTATGATTCCCATTGCAGACACTGGAGCTTAAACATAATTTGATACTGTGAGGCATCTTAAACTGGTAAATGAGACACTCACATTGACTGTTTCTACATTTGTGTATTTGAGAATTGAGGGCAAACATTGCTTCAGAAGATGGTCTAAACTCCAAAATTCATTCCTTAACTTTGACTAACTCAGTCACAAGGTACACTATAAATACTGTTAGTCACCAAACAGGTGGATCTGTGAAGGTTTAAGTCAGAAGTATAGTTATTTTCTTTAAATTGAATAATGGAAGACATTGCATAATATACACCAATAATGCCATCTCATTTAGGAAAAAACAATCCACCATAAATTAAAATAAAAAACAAGTTTCCTATTATATTTGCTTCAGAAATTTTGTATGTTACAAGAAAACAAAGTATGTGTGTGATGATATGAACACAGCCTTTATGTTATTCAAAATAAAAATTATAGTTCTAAACCCACATTACTTCAAGAAAAACTCTTAGGTAACCAGGGGTTTGGTATGTTTATTTTGAGAAGAGTTATTTTGGCTTTTTATAACTCAAAGAAATTACAGTCCTCTGGTTTGCATCACAACAATGTACCTGCCGGATGCTTTTTAGCTGCAGTTCTATAAATAAGAAAATTCCAAAACACTAAATTTATCTCAGAGCTCTTGAAGATTTATTGCAATCTGTTCTTAAGAGTGCTGATCCAGCTTTCAAAATCACAGAAACTGTCAGGTTTGCCCAAATGAGAACACAACTGGATGCTGAAGAGATACAGTCATGCAGAAGTCTAGATGTATGGATACTCACAGGCAGCAGGATTATTCATTGAGATTATTAGCACACAAAAAAGAATTTGTTGGATTGGATGCTTGAAACGCAAAGTGGGTCAATACTTCACTCAGACAGAAATGAGTGGGTGCTGATTCTGAATACTCTGTCCCAGCCAATTTTAGGCACACACCTCCTGTTCGCATTTTAGAAAGATGGAAAAAAAAAAAACAACAGTGAAGCTTCATCGCAGAAATAATTCATATTTATAATTCTTGTTACATTCCAAGTTAAAAGTAAAAGAAAAAAGTAATCTAAAAAAAACCCAGGTAGTGCTGTTATGTGTTACCACAAAAATCCCAGAAGAGAGGCGTTTCTAAAGGGCATTCCTCAAATCTAAACTAGATGTCTAACCACAGTATTTTCAGATGTCAATAATCATTTACAGAAAGATGTGTAAGCTTTCAAATGCAAAAGAAAACAAAAACAAAACCCACAACACACAAAACCTACACAGAACAGGATAAGCCAGCTCCTGAAACCTGACAGAATTTCAGGGGTTAACTTCAGACCTTACAGTCAGCACTAACAACACCTGCATGGCCTGGGGCAGTTCCAAGTTGACCTACAGTTTCACAGGAATTTTATCTCCAAAAACCTCAGGCACCTGTAAGATGAAAGGGCAGAGAAATAATAGTTTTGAGACTTGAGGACCTACATTCAACAGGGGGAGATGGGGCTGAAGGATCGAAGTTGTTTTGCAATCTGTCTCAAATCTCAAAATTGACAAACTCTCAGATGTAGACACTAATTCCCACCCACCTTCCTTCCCACCTCCAAGCCATAAATAAGAATTTAACTAGTAAAAATGTTTGGAATCAAGGGAATCTGTGTGCTACCATTCATAGCTGAGTGGATAGGACTTCCTACTTGCCATTAGCAGGTCCTGGTAGTCAGTAGAAGACTGATGCCTGCTGAGTCAGCCTAAGCTCAATAATTCTTTCTCCAGAAGGTTACTCCTTCCTTTCTTTATACAGATGGAAATCACTTTTTAACCAGGGGAAGGCCTACAGTCTCCCTGCATCTCACTCAGCACTTCTCTTTTCACACAAATTGGAAAGATAATTCAAGTGTCAAACCATTCAAAACTTCAGCAAAGAAATAAAACTGAACTCATATGCAGTATGTGCCAAAGGTAAAAAAAAAAAATAAAAAAAAATAAAAGATTAAGTTCAAAAGAACAGATGTTCTTAAGTAGCTACTGCTGGTTAATGAAGTACAAAATGCCCTCACCAGTACAAATATAGGAGAGAATGGAGAAGACAGACACTACCAGGATAACTGCAAGCAACTGGAATGGAATGACCAACTGGCAACTAACAGCATCTGCTGCTCTTGACTGTGATGCAGAGGAATTGTACTTCATCATCAGGGAAGCACCAAGTGTTCCAGCCACCAGCTAACTCTGCCTGCAGAACTGTCTGAGATCTATGGTGTGAAGTCCTCCCGATCACTGGTCATTCATTATGCAAGTATGCAATACCATCTCTTTATGCATCACCATCCCTGCCTTCATCTCAGAAAGCCTTCCTGTCCTCTCGCCACTTCCTTCTTTCCTGTGGCTGCCCTCAATTTACCAACATTATTCTATGCACTCCCTATAACGTTAGCTTGAAGCGTATATTGAGCAATTATAGTCACAACCTGCTCAGCAAATAACACTGCAGAAAATCGAATCCAAGTCTGCTCTGTTCTGACTTGGTATTAGAAAATTAGTACTCACTGCAAAAAAAAAAATTAAAAAAAAAATAGCTGTCATCCATGACAAGCGGTGATTAATTAGCACCAAAATCTGAAGTGGTGTAAGAAAATGCTAGTTGTTCCTGAATAAAAGGGGAAGCACAGGTCTCTCTTCTCAAGGTGTTCTCTTAGAGACATGAAAAACTGATGGGTTAGTGAATATATCTGACTGTGAACACAGGGTATTCTTGATACACCACAATGCATATACAATAGAAATACTGGTATAGTGCATAAACTTCACCCTATGCATAGTCTTGAATCAATTCCTTCAAACTTCAACTACATGTCTCTCCCTTACTAAGGACTACAAGATCAAGCACAGGTTGTGGATCTTCCGAAAACTGTTGAGAACAAAAAAATACGTCACCAAAATGAAATATACGAGTAGATTTTAAATAGCTAATCAGGAAGTGGAGGAGACAAGAATTATGATCCTCTTCCAGTGTTAGGGATTAAAATAACTTTAAAAATAATGCTACAGCCCTATATCTTAAACCCACTCCCTAGTATTCAGGTCTAAGTGGATTTCACAAAAAAATCTCTTCCTGGTATATCAGAGTGCATTAACAACCTGTAGACAGCCTGCAAGGTAACGCAAAGAGCCGTCCACTGATTCTTTCTACCAGGATGAGATTCAAACATTGTAGTGATTAGTGAAATATTTAGCGATAAGTGAAACACTGTAACAAATACAACTTCTTCCCTCCACTATTGACAACTAAAGCATCCTACTATTTAAACAGTGAAGATGAGCACCTCATGCTACTGAGAAAGTAGGTTAAAACACAGTGACTCAGAACAGCAACATCAAGTAGTTTGTTTGAATTTTAATGTGTAAAACAATGGGTTAAGAAAAATTAGAAGAAAGTGACAGCTGTCAAGGGCCTAACTCCTCAACAACCCCAAGGCACTTCGTTCCCATTGAAACACACAGGAGTCAGTTACGAATACAGCCCTAGCAACTGTCTTGATTGAACAGTCTTTTACTCAGAAATTGAACCGCACAAACGTTTCCGTTTCTACGAATTCTAGAACTAGAAAAATCACCTGCTGTTCCCTAGTACCCAGTTGCCGTTCCATCAAATGGGGTTTTATTTATTGCAAAATGAATATATCTAACACCTCTGACACTGAGCCACTGTAATCTGCCTCAGCCCATGCAGCACATAAAAACTGACCCTTAGTGAACAGTTTTCTAACAAAATTTAAACCTTTCTTACGGGGGTTGGCAAATGCTACCCAAAACATACACTACACCAGCATAAAAGAGATTTCATACATAGGAAGCTCAACTGAGAACAAGTTAAATACTGAAAAAGGGAGACTTGTGTCTTGGGATAACACTGCCAGAGTATAATATATGTGCATTTAGATGTAAAAACTGTATGAGAAACAGGGTGATAAAACGGGAACAATCACGATTGCTCTAGTACCCTTTAAAATTCTAAGTACTCCCAGCTTATGCACAGAAATAGTAAAACACGCACATCTGTGCGTCTAACAAATCCCAGCAAGTGCATCTTTGTAAGACCACGGAAGATCTATAGCAAAAAAAAATAAAAAAAACCCCAACAAACGGGGCTCCCAAGCGTAGGACTGCAGATAAAAATTTCAGCGAAACACTATCGACACGGACTTTTCGCAGGACAGATTTCCTCCCGGGTGCCGGGTCCCGAGTGCTGGTTTCCCGGTGGGGAGGGATCCATCCATCCATCCATCCATCCATCTCTCCCCTCCCTCTTTAACCGGTCACGGAGGGACAGCGCCCCGGGTCTGGTCCCCGGGGCAGGGGGG